TAGGTGCCCTCCAAAGTACCAGCTCAGTCCCAGCTCTGGCACAGACACACCCGCACCTTCTGCGGCACGCTGGACTGGAGCGCCTCCTGCGTCAGAAAATGCACCAGATAATGTTCTGGGGTCTGTAAACTCTGTCCAGGTAGACGACGCTATGTCATACTGCCATGTCGATACTGGCAATGGTGCCATGGACAGATCGAACTCGCCTCCGTACAGATATAGGCGGTCAAGGTCATTCCAGAGATATCCCAGCGAAACAGCTGGCGGGCCAGAGGGCTGAGGTAGTCCCTTCACGGCCGGAGAGCTGACGTCCCATGACTTGGTCAGGTCGATAGTGATAAAATCGTTGTCTATATAAGATCAGTTCTCTATCTCCCGTGTCGACCATGGATACTACAACATACTCCACTCGTTATTTTCCTGATCGGCGCTCGTCTTTGACCGACCGCCGTAGTAGTATAAGGTGCCATTCACAATAGCACCTGTAAACGTTAGTATCAGGCTGAGTTCTGGGTTATGCCTCGGATTACTAACTTTGCGCCGCCCACCTCTTGCATACGTCCGTGGGGCTGCTGTCACGAGTAACGAGTTTGGAGGTGATTATAGGTTCTCTGATGACTCCTGCATCCGCACCACTGACGTCCACCTTTGTATGTCCGTTATTGAATCTGATGGCGGGAAGCACAACCGCGATTAGGAGCGCGATGAGAGAAAGTCTTTGCACTCCTGACATGGCGAGGGGAGGTGCAGTGGAGGATGATTGGATCTTTGGTCGCTTCACTGAGGCCAGTCTCGACAACCATCGAGGTTTTTCAGCAGATTTCGAGTTTCCTCCGGTCGAGCCTTTGCGCTCGTGCTGTTGCTGTGGCGATACCGGCTCCGAGGGCCGTCTCTTGGTCGACTTCTGGCCTAGTGTTTCCTCCTCTCGGCTTTGCGTATCATCGTAAGGTCTCGCGTGCGCTGCTTCGTCGTCCAGCCCAACCTCCCGGAAGACTGACCGCCTTCCCTTCCGTATCTTGCTACCTTTTGTTAAGCCGGTAAGCCTTGCGCCCTGTTCTAATCTGTCGGAAGTGACCATGGAGTTGAAACGAGGGCGTTCACAACTAACCCGCTGGTCGCCAAGGTCTGAGTTGTTGTGCTCAGGTTGATTAAAGGACATAACTATGTGTTACTGGAAAAGAATATAGCTGGAATTGCCATCACTCATGAAGAGCAACAGATTACTTTCACGTCGTAAAACGCGTTGCATATGTTGGGAAATGGGGAAGTGAGACGGAAGGTATGGTGGTATGAGGTCACAGGAGACTTTTGGAGAACATGCTCGGTTAGGTTACTGTGTACTCGGGATATCATTGGCGAGATCGCCATTAACGGTAACGGGTCATCGCCACATGGCTCTATTCTTCTGCATAGGGCAAACAAGCTGGGATGCAGATGGACACCAACGACTTGAAGCCGCGGTGAAATCATAGGCATACCTACTAACCTTATGATACTGCTCAGCCGGTGCCCCTCCAACTTCCAAGGCCACGAGGAATCTGACAGAACCCCTGCCCAGTGTCCAGCCCGCACTGACGATTTAACACTGGTGCTATTTGCATTCAGGCTGGAGTTCGACATGTAGTCTACAAAGTAAACGAAGCTGGGGACACCGGGGCGGAACTGGGGAGGTGGATCAACGTCTGAGTGGACTGAGCCCATCTCGTTCAGGGTCTCGTCTGTATGTTCGTGTTGTTCGTAGAAGTCGTTCATTGCCAAAATAGGAACGCCAATGTGATGTGCAGCGATGTCATTGGTTCTCCTCGAGCAGACCAAAACAGGCTCAAAGCAAGAATGACGACATGACTTTCTTAATTTCCTTTTCAAAGAGAGACAGAATCGAGACCCTCCTTTACTTGTACCGCCAAGGTACCGTTGTACCCAAGCCACCATCAGCCACCATCAGCCACCACCAGCCACACACAGCACTGACCATCTGATTTACAGTTGGGAACTGTGTTGGAAAGGATGAACAATCCATGAACAGCTCAGGGACTTGGGAGTCAAAGTGTATTCTTCGATCAGTCTTGTCGTTGTACAAGTAACCCATCAATGGCTGAGGGACTCTGTCACGTCTGTCCGCTCTTGGCTGAGATCCACCTGTATCCCAAGAGCAATAGGCACCCAATGACTGGTGGCCTCTCGCGTAAAATATACCATTGCACCACACAGCAGTCCATTATTAGTGTTGAAAGATCGGTGGTAATGCTGACCGTATAGAAGAGAAGGCCAGGGGGATTATCAGGTTATATGTGCCCATACTGCTGTACTTGGGTAACTTGATAAACTACATATTTCAATCACCCCTAGGTTGAAAGCTTATCACCCGTTGCAGGTCTATCACGCCGGGGTTGATGATTCTACGGATGGACTCTTGTGGTAACAGTAGTAGGCTTTTTAGCAGCGTCTGCTGGAAGAATGTCTGACCAACCGATGCGAAGATGCCACCATTCATCGAGATGAAGGCTAGCAGTGTCGAAGCCCGAGTGGAGCGAGATCTTGGAGAAACAAGGTCTGCATGGCGAGGTGTGACCGGTAGAAAGCAACCGCGGTAGTAGTTACGAAGAAGTCGGTAGCTTGGGGTCGCGGGAGATGTCCTAACGAGTTTAACGAAAACAAAGACGCCAATCCCTCCGAGAATCTGGTAAGCCTGTCACGATGAAATGTTAGAATATATGGTGGATAGCAGGCAGATGCCATGTATATTCCGCAGTACGTCCCCAGTTGGTGCCCGTTTGGTGGGTGCTCGGCCGATCTCGAAGAAGAATACATGGGAGTGATAGGCCAGCTTCTTTGGAAAGAGCATGTACATCTTGCCAGAAAGGGGCCGTGAGACACCGTGAAAGCAGAATAATATCAGCCGCCATCGCGGGTTGAGTGGAAGTACCGAGTGAGATGCGGCTCTTTTGTGTGTTTTTCTCCTTGGAAAACACTGCAAGATTGTAGAGCTGGTGTGGAAATACAGTTCTGTATCATATCTTTGTAGGCTGCGTTGTCTTCTCCGAGGTTGATCTCAGAATCCATGATATGGGTGAGAAAGAGAACGTGGTATTTGTGTCCCACTTCCAACAGTGACACATCGATATTTCTCCATCCTGGATGATACTAGCAAACCTGATATTTGGCCTTTCCATTCGTGACAAATTCTGCCAAGTTCGCTTCGCAAGCTCTCCTGTAGTTGTCCAGCGTCTCCGCGCCGTACCAGGCAACATGCGGCGTCATCACCAGATTGAGGTTCTCCGTCTCAGGGGCAAGCAGAAGACTAGAGCCCGGCTCGGCCGGCTCCTGGGCAAAGACGTCCGTCCCGGCCCCCGCGATCCTGCCTTCCTTCAGCGCGGCGACTAGCGCCCTCTCATCCACGATGCCGCCCCTCGAGACGTTGATGACGAGGGTGTGCGGCGTCATCTGATCAAACTCCGGGTCCGAGATGAGGTTCAGCGTCTCGGGCGAGCGCGGCACGCAAATCAGAAGGACCGAGCATGCCCTTATGACTTCCTCGAAGGGAACCCTCCCTTCACCAACCTCTGTCGCGACAGCACCCTTACGAGCCGCCACGATGGTCCTCATCCCGAGCGCCCTGACCTTGGCCTCGAAGGCCCTCCCCACGCTGCCGTACCCGACGATGCCGAAGACCTCGTCCCGCGTCGTCATGGGCGGCCTGCCGGCGCCGGCGCGGTCCATGGTCTTGTGGTGCGAGCGCTCTGTCGCCCACGCGCCCGACCGCACCAACGAGTGCGTCAGCAACACGGACCGCCGCGTTGCAAAGTAGAGCGCCAGCGCATGCTCTGCCACCGTCTCCTCGTTGCAGTGCGGCGCGTTGCCCACCACGATGCCCCGCGATCTACATGCCGCGAGGTCTACAGCGTCCGTGCCTGATGCTATAACGGAGATCACTACCAGCGAAAGGGAGAGTTAGTCCAGATGCCAGTGCCTGTCTTGTCCCATGCGAGCCCGTGAGAAAAAGCGGGTAAAGAGCGAGAGGAGCGCGCTGGGCGTAATGTGACCGGGGTTGGGCAATTAGGCTCAGCTCAGGTTCGGTTGGGCCCGTCCCCAAGCCGGAAAGAGATGAAGGGTCATTGAGTGGAGTGGGGTGAAAGGGTAGGGAGGCACCTCTCCTACTTTTAAGGCGCGGCGTAACCTCGGGCTTCAGGATTTCCGCCGTTATGGGTGATAGCGTGGTTATCACAATGTCGGCATCTCGAATGCGCTCCGCTACCTGATCCGGTCTTGTGGCTTCGTAGTCCCGGAACTGCCATGTATGAGGCGGGGGCAAGCTCACACCATTTCCCCAAGGGCAGAAGAAGGTATTTAGAGCGACAATGACCCAGTGCGTTTGTTGGGCCATTCTGGCGGAGACTGAAGACTCCGGAGGCCGAGGGGGGACGTCTTTAAAAATATGCAGATTTAAGTGGGATATTTATTGTATTGAACGGAGTTCACAAGTTCACCGACACTTCATGGCGACACCTCGATATATATGCACACCCTTATCGGTATAATCTGTCATTGAAGGGCGCAACAGGCAAACGCGGTTGCTCCTCCCCGTGGAGTCGATCATGTGGGACTTTGGCAATCCGTCAGGGGCTCTGGCAATCTGCCACCTCTACGCCCAAGCATTCAATAAGGAGTTGACAGTGGAACGACATAGTACATACGGTAAGGTTAGTCTAGTCTCATTGGGGTCTGCAGGAAGTCGCGCCACTTCAACGCTGTAGGGGTGCAGATGCTAACCTGGAAATAAAGGGAGGAGACAAGATGGAAAAGAGAAAGGCAAACGTGACGAAGCAAGAGTAAAAAATGAAAGTCAAAAAAGAAAAAAAGAAGGGTCTGGCCGGGGATTGAACCCGGGACCTCTCGCATATTTTCTTAAGGTTAACCCTAAGCGAGAATCATACCACTAGACCACCAGACCGAAAGAATATCTCTGCTGCTCGAACTCGGAGAACCGTGCAAGCAGGAACCGACAACGACAGGACTCGAACCTGTGACCCCGAAGGGATATGATGTTCTAGAGATTTTCTAGTCATACGCTTTAACCACTCAGCCACGTTGCCTGTTGATTTGTTGTTCAATCAGCGTTGCTGTTGCAGTCTATGATAGGAGTTGGGGATTTGGTGCATTGTAATTTGTGGTAGACCTGAGTCAGGTACTGTACCCAGTACAGCCCCTATCCTAGGGCTACATACAGTATGCATCCTACGTTAAGTCTACTGTATCTCGTTTACTGTGTGGTGCGATTTTGGTTCAAATGTGCGAGCTCTGACAACTTGATCACTTATAAGGATATATTACCCACTGCCACTGCTGTCAGCGTGCAAGATATCAAAGTAACGGCAATGTCACTTGAAGGTCTAGAAGCGAAAAAATAGAATTCATTGGAATTAAAATATAATTATTTCTAATTTTACATGGGAACTACTACAGCAGTCCATACTCCCGTCATTTTTAGAAGCTCAAACAAGGTAAAAAGGGGCAAAAAGGAGGGTTGCTGTTCCCAGTTGACTGGGAAGCATCAGGAATTGAGCCCGATGCGGGGGTCGAACCTATTGAGGATTTGTTAGCATTTTTTGAATTCTTCCATGGAAGATGAGTTTTTTCAGTGAAACTTACCCGCAACCTTGAGATTAAGAGTCTCACGCTCTACCGATTGAGCTAACCGGGCAGGTTTATGCTGGTTGTTGGAACCCGGCCTTGTATCCCGGGTGTTGTGTAGAGGCGTGAGAGTGAGGGCTAGTCTACCCTCGCTTTTGTCCATGTGGGTCGACTCTGTGGGTTTTCCTACTACAAACTTTGAACTTGAGATGAAGACGACGCCGTTCGACGCGGGATGCCCGTGCTAATCTCTGTCCTATATTTCGAGAGGTAATTGGTTCGACTGCGTTGAAATGACAGGCATGGCTCATATGATCATTAACCATCACCGGCTCCACAACAACAAGCGTTACCGGGAGCCATTTGACCTCTCCTCTTGGTGTTCCGCACTCGCATCAATTCCACCCTTATGACCAACCAGTTTACTCGGATTATCCTGGTCGTCGACGTCAACCACCCGATCGCCGAAAGCTGCGGCGATCTCTTCGAGGGTCTTCTGCTTCGTCTCCCTGAGAACCGTCAGTGTCTGAACGAACCCTTGCAGGGACAAAATGAAAAGGCGTATATTACGGGAAGTAGCGATGTATAAGCACCAAATAGATGGTGCAGACACCGACAAAGACATAATAGTAGTTTTCCTGTATGGCAGCGAACGCAGTTGGTCCTGCTTGGGTCACTGATGGGGCGTCGCTGTCAGCATTACAGCCGCACTTCTTTCAGAGAGGCCGAAGGGTGTAATCCTTACAGGCTACGTTGACAATGTAGTGTGCAGTGGCCGAGACGCCTACTATCTTGCTGCGGATCGCAATGGGAAGGACCTCAGATCCATACAGCCAGGTCGTGCTGTTAATGAGGCCGTCTTAAGTTGATGAGATGTGAGCACGGACTTGCACAGTCGCTCGGGAGGAGACAGTTTGCGGGCCAGCTTACAGTAGCAGACGACGAACAGGTAGATGCCGAGTATGGCAAAGCCTTTACCAACTCGGTTGTCAGTGTGTTGGAAGATTCTCTGGAGCACAGCTGAGTATATCTCCGTAGCAATGACACAACCAACTCCGGCTAGCAGCATCCTGTGTGTATCCTTCGTTAGCATCAACATTGACAACGAAGTTGATTGTTGACGACTTACTTGCGACGACCCCATCTGTCTGGTAGATACAAGACCGATATCACGTTGGACGCGAACGCACACGTCCCCCAGGCCGCGGCCAAGGCTAGTATAGTCCTTGGGTCCATGCCTAGGGATTCATAGGTAGAGGCTGCTTGGGGTTAGCAAGAGGTCTATGAACGTGCTGTCCGGCCACGACTAACTCTGGTAATACTGGATAACGTTGATGCCCGTGACGCTAGTCAGAACCTGCACCGAGATAGATCTATCAACAGATCAATAAATTGGCCCCTGCCTTTTTCGTATAATACCAAAAAGTCTCACACAAGAACGCGGCGGCGATATAGTCTCCAGATCTCGGGATACGAAGGGATCTCCCGACTCTTCTCGTACCCGATCCGTGCCTTCATCATGGCGAACTCTTCCTCAACTTCGTGCGCCGACATGCCATCCGCCGTCTTCCCGAACTCGACCCTCGCCTCCTCGACCCTGCCCCTCTGGATCAGCTGGCGCGGGCTGTGCGGCATGTATGTGGCCAAGCAGCAGAAGAGGACGACGCCCCACGGAGCCTGCAGGGCAAGAGGAAGCCGCCACTGGACGGGGCCGTAGGGCGCAAAGCTGCCGGCGAATCCGATCCAGTTCGCCGTCATCGTGCCTAGTGACAGGCCGACGCCGCCCAGGCCGCCGATCAGTCCGCGGCTTTGGGGCGGGCTGATTTCCGAGAGGTAGATGGGCACGGTTCCGCTTAACGACCTGGAGTTTCAGAGGTTTTTTTAATTTGATTTTATAGTTAGTGACCATAGGTACAAAGACTTTGTTGGCCTTATTGGAGTATAGCCAGCCTAGGGGTATTGTTAAGTATTTTAACTTACCCAACTGCGATTCCAGCTACAACCCGTCCCGCAAGCAACATTTCCATATTAACCGCAGCTGTCTGGATGACCACTCCGATGGTGACTACGATGCAAGCAAGTTGCATGAATCTCTTGCGGCCGAGCCTGTCTCCTATTATAATCTGGCAGAGAGCTCCGAGGGCCTCGCCTGCGATATAGACGGCCACGACCTTCACTTACTTTAGATTAGCTAGTAACTAAGGTTAGACATTTTCGGGAGAGCTGGCTATCACCCAGAGCGCAATGTTCCTAACCTAGAGGAGAGGAGACGACTCACTGCGCCAGTAATGCCTTCTGATGGCCGATTCATGTAGTCGATCCAGCTCTGATGGGCGATCGCTGTAGAGATTAGACTCAGTACGAAGGAAGGGTTTCGAAAAGTCACAACATGTTTCTCTTACTCGTCGTTATGATCCCTGTATCAAACCCCTGAAAACACACATGTGTTAGAAAAGGACGCACGCAGCGGGAATAGGGGTTCGGGTGCGTTCAGCGGTTCGAAAAACTTGCATATAGAAAGGTGCCCATTGAGGCAGATAGGGCTATGCCTAACGTATACGAACTCGGCCGACGCATGACAAAGGAGTCCAGTTTTTCTCTCCCTGTATAGTCCAGATCTCGATACGCGGTGTTTAGATTAACAAATGAACAGAAGCAAGTGAAATAGAAAAAACTCGGAGCTGCAAAATCCAACCCGCGAGGTGACTGAACTGATATATAGGCTTCACAGACAAGACATAGGTAAAATCTCGAAAAGCAAGCCTACTCTCTGTGGGATGGGTATAATGTAACATACGTAACCTAATCCGCATAGCCTGCGTGATGCCAAGATTCTCTATATATCCGGGGTTTGTGGGCTACAGTCTAGGTACGTGTTACCAGTGATCTTCCCCAGATAATGGAGGTCATATAATTAACTTAACCTACCTCCTCAGTGCACCTGGACAGACCCCACGAAGACTCCCCGTGTTGGAGAACTATCTAAGCCAGGACTGACCAAAGTAAGTATTCACGACGGTCGAGCTCTACGCCGCGGTATGAGTGGCGAGCATAAAATATGAGATGTCTCTGCTCCTAAGAGTATTATGTAGGCGGGGACGGGAAGACTCGGTATTGTAGACATCCGGCCACTGAATGGAGTGGGTGCGACTTATACTTTTGTCTAAGGCTAACGGCTCAAACCCCTTTTTCATACGAGCTATGGTAATTCCATCCCTGCGATGATTACAAATCATGGAAGAATTGGGCTGAAATCAACAGAATGTGAACAACCCTTGGCCAAACCCAATACTTATCATCTCCGTGAGCGACCTACTCCCGTCTCATTTGCGCGCCAACATCCGAACTCTAGCCGCATTAAGCCGTGGCCCTAGTCTCGCACAGCTCAAGCTCTCCAAAATGTCTCTTGTGCAGTGGCACATCAGCAAAGGCCTGCACGTAGGCGACGAGGTTAGGCAGCCCCTTCCGCATCTCGGCGTCAATCAGAGTCTTGAAGGTGATATAGAGCCAAGAGACGACCGAGATGTCGGCCAGGGTGTAGCTGTCGCCGACGAGGTACTTCTTGCCGCCCTCGAGGGCCTTTTCCAGGGATCGTACACTCCTCGTGACCTTGTCGAGGCTTGCGTTCACGCGTTGCTCGTCGTAGGGGATAACTCGGACTAAGCGTAGCAGCAACGAGCCATGTGAGTATTGGGATCTTGATAAGGCCTTGTTGCTCGATGATATCATATTTTTATCAAAGGGGGAAAAATAGGATTGTCAAGCTTACGACCAAGAATACCAATCGCATCGAGGGCGTTATTGAAGAACTCTGCTTCGGCAAAGAATGTCCATTGTGTGATGAGAGCTCGCTCCTTCAGCTCTGTGGGGGAGACTATGTCAGCCACGAAGACGGATCACCTACAAATTTTTCACAAGAAGGTTCGGAGAGGACGTACCTTTGCCAAGGAGCTGCTCGGCTTGAGGGCCAGATTCGATGAGATATCTATCGATCGCGGAGCTCTCAGCCAGGAGGAAGCCGTCGGAGCCCTCAAAGACCGGGATCTTGCCCAGTGGGAACTTCGCAAGGAACTCTGGCGTTTTGTTGGTGACGCCGTGCTCGTATGGTGGGGCTTCCAACTCTAGGCCGTTAAGCTCGGCAATTATCTTCATCTGCACGTCGAATCCGGAAAAACCTCGATCAGTACCGAGCCTAAAGGATAGGAAGGGGTGGGGAAACATACCCGCGCAACACGAGGGTTATTCGGATAGGAGTAGACCTTGCCGAAGACCGCCATCTTGCCAATGAAAACCTGTGGCTTTGGGGTTTTGTCAGGGATGTAGTCTAGTGTTCTATCTAAAGAAAGCGGTTGCTGGGTCTCGGTGAAGTGAGTGATGAGCGTGAAGGGTAGGGAAGGAAAATGTAAAGAAAATAGATCGAGGGCGTCACAGCATTTATGTCACGTCTCTTGCCAGGGATAATAGATGACACCGGAACACATTCGTCAGCACTGAGCGTGGTGTTATTTTCTGAAGGCTCATCAAAGTACGGCGTACTGTGGTACGCAATTCGCTACACCAGTGAAGCAGGCCGCGGATTTCGTGGCACAACCTTGAAGCCATCCATTAGTCAGTCGGTGTGCCATATATCAGGACCGTGGTCCAACATTGTCGGAATCTGGGACAGTGTGGGAACTCCTTCGGCATGTCTTGCACTTCAGCAGGCGTTGCTGTCCATTTTTCATCCCTCACAGAAGCTCCGACGTCTGGTTCACGGTGCGGAGCAACAAACTCGATAGGGATGATCAACAAAGTGATAACTCCCAGATTCTGACATTGTACCGTGGTTGGTAAGCCGTTGCCCATCGTGGCCTCAAGTCCATATGATGAGGCTGGGACAGGTTGTGCCGAGTTTGCATGCTTGATTTATAAGCCGAGTTTCACCGGCATGCAGAAGCGGATGGTTCCGACTGTATGTACCCGGATCTCTGGCGCCGGGCTGCCGGGTACTGCTTAGGTGGGTCGGGCTTTTATATGTGACTAAGTAGGTACCTGGCTGTCGACGTAAGATCTATCAAAGCGATGCTCTGG